GTGACCTGGTCACAAATGATATCACGGTGACCTGGCCACAAATGATGGCTCGGTGACCTGGCCACAAATGATGGCTCGGTGACCTGGGCACAAATGATAATCCAACAACAATGGGCTCCCCAGCGGAGGTGGGCCTCCTCGTGGAGGTAAGTGTCCCTATCGAGATTGCCTTCTTCGGTGACATTGTCCTCCTCGTGGAGATTGGGCCCTCTCGTGGAGGTGTGTGTGTCCCTTGCGGATAGATGGGCCCCATCGTGGATGTGATCCCCCTCGTGGAGGTAGTCCCCTTCGTGGAGATGAGCCCCATCGCGGAGTCGTGTTTGAAAGAGCGACCCTCCTTTCTCTAAAACAAACTATTTTATTTTACCAGTTAAGGCCTCACTGACCTCTGTACTTATTTTTGTAAGAAGCGACCTGGTCGCAAAAGTGGGTGAGTGCCGAGTGGGTGAGCGCCGAGTGGCTGAGTGTTGAGTGGGTGAGTGTTGAGTGGGTGAGTGTTGAGTGGGTGAGTTTTGAGTGGGTGAGCACTGCGTGGAAGAGCGTCTCGCTCACCGCCGGATGGCGACGGTGAGCCCCTCTGCTGAGTAGGCACAGGGCTGCACGGCCTCGGGGCGCAGGCCCCGGCACCGGAACGTCGACACGAAGGCGTCGCAGGACGACAGCGACCCTAGGGGCCGGGGGTCACGCAGGGGTCACGCGGGGGTTACGCGTGGGTCACGTGGGGGTCACGCGGGGGTCACGCGGGGGTCACGGGTCATCAGGCCCATGCCGAGGAACCACGAACAAGAGGGGAGAGGCAGCAGCAGCCAGCGCCATGAGCAACTCCGCTCACTCTCACAAAGACAAAAGTCCCCTGTGTAGGCTTAACAGACTGTCGGGGCAAGTGCTGTTCGCGTGCGACTATGAAGGCCGGCACGGCACACGAGGGGGTGGGTGGCCAGCAGCACACCCGGCCGTCTTTGTCTCCCCAGTGGCGATGTTTACTACACACCAGGTACTCGTTTGAGTCGATGGAGGGGAGGACACCCACGACCAGCTCAGACAATTGTCACCGGCGTTGGCCGTGAGCGGGAGTCGAACTCGGGTCACTGGGGGGTTCATAGCGTAGCGTAGCGCTAACCGCTGAACCACTGCTCCCCACACGCTCGCAGATGATCACAGACACACTCTCTCACTCAGACACACTCTCTCACTCAGACACAACCTCTCACTCAGACAAAGATAAAAAAAAAGATCCACCATATAGCCTTAACAGACTGTAGGGGCAAGTGCTGTTAGCGAGCACCTATGAAGGCCGCAACGGTACACGAGGGGGTAGGTGGCCAGCACCACGCCCGACCGCCTTTGTATCCCCAGTGGCGATGTTTACACACCGCACCAGGTACTCATTTGAGGCTGAGTCGACCTAGGGGAGGCCCAGAACCGGTTCAGATAATCGTCACTGGTGTTGGCCGTGAGCGGGAATCGAACCCGGGTTGCCAGGTTCATAGCGCAGCGCGCTAACCGCTACACTACTGCTCAGACACACACTCTCACTCAGACACACACTCTCATGAACAGGGTGAGAGAACATAGAAACTCCACACAGCAAGGTGCCCGAGTCGGGAATCGAACCCAGGCGCTATTTGCGGTGATGGGGAAGATTGATGACGATGTTGACGACGATGACGACGATGACAATGACGCTGACGATTACAAAGATGATGACGACAATAACTATGATGATGACGATAATGGCGACAATAATTGTGATGGCGACAATGTTAATGATCAAAAACATGCCGATGATGACGACAATGACTCATGCTGACGACAATAACTATGATGATAATTGTGATGCCGACGATGCTGACGATGAAAAAGATGGTGATGACGACAACGATGCCGCCGACGACAATAATCACGACGATGACGCCGTCGCTGCCGCCGCCGCTCACAGGGGTTGGCCGCGTCGGCGACGAGCAGCGAGCGCAGCGAGGCGAGCTCCACGTCCTTCTGCTCCTGGAAGCCCACCATGGCCCAGTGCAGGTCGCGCGACTTCACGCACGCCACGGTCGCTGGGACGCCACGCGCGGCACGGGCGGCACGGGCGGCACGGGCGGCACGGCACGGGCGGCACGGCACAGGCGGCGAGCGGTTGCCGGGGTGAGGAGACGGCGCAGGGGGTGAGGGTGGGACGGGGAGACACGGCGGTGGTGAGAGACGAGGCGGTGCGCTGGTCACACCGCGCCGTGTGCTGCGTTCCGTCTGTGTGACGGCGCAGTACGGTATTTATAGCATACGCGGTGTGTGTGTGGTGTACGTGATGTGTGTGGTGTATGTGGTGTGTACTGCGTGTGGTGTGTAGCATGCTGTGGTGTGCCGTGTGTAGTGTGTAGCACGCTGCGGTGTGCCGCGTGCGGTGAGTGGTGTGCCGTGCCGGGGTCTCCAACCTTTGTAAGCGAACACCTTCTGCAGCCAGGACACGGGGTTGACCTTCATGAGGGCGTAGGGGACGCACACCACGTGCAGCATGCAGAACACTCCCTGCAGGGCACAGCACCCCCGCCAGCAACACTCGCAACAACACTCCGCCAGCAACACTCACAACACTCGCAACAACACCCGCCAGCCGCACGTTGACGCCACTTCCAGCACCACCACGACCACCGGCACCGCTTCCATCTGCCCCCCCCACCACCACCACCCCCCTCGCCACTCACCGCCAGAATCCCGTGCCAGAGACCCACGTCCTTTTTGAAGTCGAGGACATTCACCATGGTTTCCCCTGCGAAGAAGAGACAGCCGATGAACACAACCACCCTGGCTGCAGGCCGGGGTGCAGGACGGGGTGCAGGCCGGGGGTGCAGGTCGGGTGCAGGACGTGGAAGTTGTGCATGCAACGTGTCGCTCAGGTGTGGACGAGGGGCGATGTGGGACAATGGTTCGTGCGGGACAGCGGCTTCACGTGGGGGACGCCGCAGGGCACCTTCGATGTAGGCGCAGGCCTGGCGCAGGGCGCGGCAGTGCTCCAGGGCGGCGCGGCGCGTCACCGTGACGCCCACCACGCTGCCCTCCCTGCCCGTCTTGTACTGCCGCGGGCACACACGGGGAGGGGGGGGGGATACGATCGTCATCATCATCGTCGTCATCGTCGTCATCCTCGTCATCCTCGTCATCGTCGTCATTGTCGTCATCGTCGTCGTCGTCGTCATCATCGTCGTCGTCATCGTCGTCGTCATCATCGTCGTCATCATCGTCGTCATCATCGTCGTCATCATCGTCGTCGTCGTCATCGTCGTCATCCAAGGACTGCGGCAGCGCGAGCGCGACTCCATCGGCATGGCGCTTTGCGAGCGCTCGGCCCCCGCACCTCGATCATGGCCGTGCTGTCGTCGGCCTCGTGGACGTGAGGCCTCCAGTCCTTGGGCGGCTTCGAGAGGTTCCGCGAGTCGGTGACGAACCACTGCACCTTGGGCCAGCCTGGGACGACAGAAAGGAGAGACACGGCGATGACGACGATGACGACGATGACGATAACAATGACGACAATGACGACGACGATGACGACGACAACGATGACGACAACGATGACGACAACGATGACGACGACAACGATGACAACGACGATGATGACGACGGCGATGACGACAACGATGACGATGACAACGATGACAACGACGACGATGAAATCGACGATGACAATCACGACGACGACGACGACGTCCACCGCTGTGCGGCGGCCTCTTATGGAGGAGGAGGAGCGTGTGGCCCACACGGTGGGTTGCATGGCCACAGTCGCACTGCTGCGGCTCGTGCCTTGCAACCCAATCGAGTCACCTGCGCCGCAATCATTCTCAAGTTGGCAGACGAGGACGATGTGCGTGTACGACGTGCCCGATGGCTGGCGAGTTACGCGCGTGCGATATGTGATGCGGGCGATGTGTGTGATGCCTGCGACACGCGTGATGTGTGCGACGTGCGACCTTTGAACTGCACGATGTCACCGGTGGGGCCCTTGGGAAGGCCGCGGTGGCACGCGTCGCTCGTGAGCGCCACGGCCACGCCGCACGTGCCCAGCAGGAAGCCGATCTGCTGGCTCGCCGAATCCTGCACCCACAGCACAGGTCGCCACGGTCAACCCGCCACGGTCAACCCGCCACGGTCAACCCGCCACGGTCAACCCGCCACGGTCAACCCGCCACGGTCAACCCGCCACGGTCAACCCGCCACGGTCAACCCGCCACGGTCAACCTGCCACGGTCAACCCGCCACGGTCAACCCGCCACGGTCAACCCGCCACGGTCAACCCGCCACGGTCAACCCGCCACGGTCAACCTGCCACGGTCAACCCGCCACGGTCAACCCGCAACGGTCAACCCGCCACGGTCAACCCGCCACGGTCAACCCGCCACGGTCAACCCGCCACGGTCACCCGCCCAGGTGAAAGGTGGAAAGGGTGACATTGATGTTGATGTTGTAACTCATCAGGAGGAAAATGCTGCTGATGCTACTTCTGCTGCTGAGGAAAGCACTGCTGATGCTGCTGCCGAAGATGATGATGGTGCTGATGATGGTGCTGTTGCTGATGATGATGGTGGTGGTGCTGCTGCTGATGATGGTGGTGGTGGTGGTGGTGCTGCTGATGATGATGATGGTGGTGCTGCTGATGATGATGGTGGTGGTGGTGCTGCTGCTGCTGCTGGTGGTGCTGCTGGTGGTGGTGCTGCTGCTGGTGGTGGTGGTGCTGGTGATGATGATGGTGATGGTGGTGCTGCTGATGATGATGGTGGTGGTGCTGCTGGTGGTGGTGGTGGTGCTGGTGATGATGATGGTGGTGGTGGTGCTGCTGATGATGATGGTGGTGGTGCTGCTGGTGGTGGTGGTGGTGCTGCTGCTGCTGGTGGTGCTGCTGCTAGTGGTGATGGTGCTGCTGGTGCTGCTGCTGCTGCTGGTGGTGCTGCTGCCGATGCCGCCGATGGCAGTGGCGGCCCGCGCACCTTGCGAGAGAGCGGCACCTCGACGGGCACCGGCGTGAGCTGTGCCAGGAGGCAGCCGTAGAATGCGGTGACGAACGCGGTGGCGTCGCTGTTGGGGTACACCAGCGCCACCTGGACAAAGAATAACGGCACCCACCCACCTCTGTTTCGCCTCGGCCACTCGCGACAAACGCGGAATTCGACACCGAGTGGAGGCCGCCCACCACCTAGGCCTGACAGCCCCGCGAGCCACGCTTCACCGCACAACCGCCACCGGCACAATCACCACCACCACCCGCATAACCATCATCGCCACCACCACCGGCATAACCACCACCACCATCACCGGCACAATTGTCACAACCACCACACAGCCTGCGATGATTACTACCGATCAGGCGAGCACGCCTACACTCACACCACCACCACCATCATCATCATCAATGCCACCACTACTAGCATCATTACCACCACAACCACCACTATTATCACCACTACCAACACCGCAATCATAATTACCACCACCGTCATCATTGTTACTACTACCGGCACAACAACCACTACTGCCACCATCACCACACAGCCTGCAACGCTAACTCACGTACGCACAAAGCAAAGACAAAGATCCCCCCCCCCCGTATGGCCTCAACAGGTATGTTGTGGCAAGTGCTGTCAGCGAGAACCTATGAAGTAGTGGTGGTGTAGTAGTCGTAGTGGTGGTGGTAATAGCGGTGTAGTCGTAGTGTAGTAGTCGTGGTGGCATAGCAGGAGTGGTTGTTCAGTCGTGGTAGCAGTGATATAGTAGTGCTTTGATTGTAGTAATCGTGTAGTGGAAGTGGTTTAGTGGTAGTGGTTGTGCATTAGTGGTAGTGGTGAAGTAGTAGTGGTCATGGTTTAGTAGTGGTAGTAATGGTGTAGTAGTGGTTGAGGCGGTGTAGTAGTGGTAGTGGTGGTAGTTGGCTGTCGTTGTGGTGGTGGCCACACACCCACCGTGTACTGGCTTGTAGTAGGTGTGGTGTAGTGGTGTAGTAGTGGTGTAGTAATGGTGTAGTAGTGGTGGTCACACAATCACACTCTGTCCCGGTGTGTAGTAGTGGTGGTGGTGTAGTAGTGGTGGTGTAGTAGTGGTGGTAGCATAGTAGTGGTGGTGTAGTAGTGGTGGTGGTGTAGTAGTGGTGGTCACACAATCACACTCTGTCCCGGTGTGTAGTAGTGGTGGTGGTGTAGTAGTGGTGGTGTAGTAGTGGTGGTAGCATAGTAGTGGTGGTGTAGTAGTGGTGGTGGTGTAGTAGTGGTGGTGTAGTAGTGGTGGTGGTGTAGTAGTGGTGGTGGTGTAGTAGTGGTGGTGGTGTAGTAGTGGTGGTGGTGTAGTAGTGGTAGTGTAGTAGTGGTGGTGGTGTAGTAGTGGTGGTGGTGTAGTAGTGGTGGTGGTGTAGTAGTGGTGGTAGTGTAGTAGTGGTGGTGGTGTAGTAGTGGTGGTGGTGTAGTAGTGGTGGTGATGGTCACACACTCACCCTGTGTCTCGGATTGTAGTAGTAGTGGTGGTAGTGGTGGTGGTGTAGTGGTGGTGGTGTAGTAGTGGTGGTGGTGTAGTGGTGGTGTAGTGGTGGTGTAGTAGTAGTGGTGGTGGTGGTGGTGTAGTAGTGGTTGTGGTGGAGTGGTGGTGGTGGTGGTGGTCACACACTCACCCTGTGTCCCGGCTTGTAGTAGTAGTGGTGGTAGTGGTGGTGTAGTAGTGGTAGTGTAGTAGTGGTGGTGGTGTAGTAGTGGTGGTGGTGTAGTAGTGGTGGTGGTGTAGTAGTGGTGGTGGTGTAGTAGTGGTGGTAGTGTAGTAGTGGTGGTGGTGTAGTAGTGGTGGTAGTGTAGTAGTGGTGGTGGTGTAGTAGTGGTGGTGGTGTAGTAGTGGTGGTAGTGTAGTAGTGGTGGTGGTGTAGTAGTGGTGGTGGTGTAGTAGTGGTGGTGATGGTCACACACTCACCCTGTGTCTCGGATTGTAGTAGTAGTGGTGGTAGTGGTGGTGGTGTAGTGGTGGTGGTGTAGTAGTGGTGGTGGTGTAGTGGTGGTGTAGTGGTGGTGTAGTAGTAGTGGTGGTGGTGGTGGTGTAGTAGTGGTTGTGGTGGAGTGGTGGTGGTGGTGGTGGTCACACACTCACCCTGTGTCCCGGCTTGTAGTAGTAGTGGTGGTAGTGGTGGTGTAGTAGTGGTAGTGTAGTAGTGGTGGTGGTGTAGTAGTGGTGGTGGTGTAGTAGTGGTGGTAGTGTAGTAGTGGTGGTGGTGTAGTAGTGGTGGTAGTGTAGTAGTGGTGGTGGTGTAGTAGTGGTGGTGGTGTAGTAGTGGTGGTGGTGTAGTAGTGGTGGTAGTGTAGTAGTGGTGGTGGTGTAGTAGTGGTGGTGGTGTTGTAGTGGTGGTGGTGTAGTAGTGGTGGTGGTGTAGTTGTGATGGTGGTGTAGTAGTGGTGGTGTAGTAGTGGTGGTGGTGTAGTAGTGGTGGTGGTGTAGTAGTGGTGGTGGTGTAGTAGTGGTGGTGGTGTAGTAGTGGTGGTGGTGTAGTAGTGGTGGTGGTGTAGTAGTGGTGGTGATGGTCACACACTCACCCTGTGTCTCGGATTGTAGTAGTAGTGGTGGTAGTGGTGGTGGTGTAGTGGTGGTGGTGTAGTAGTAGTGGTGGTGGTGTAGTGGTGGTGTAGTGGTGGTGTAGTGGTGGTGTAGTAGTAGTGGTGGTGGTGGTGGTGTAGTAGTGGTTGTGGTGGAGTGGTGGTGGTGGTGGTGGCCACACACTGACCCTGTGTCCCGGCTTGAGTAGTAGTGGTGGTAGTGGTGGTGGTGTAGTGGTGGTGGTGTAGTAGTAGTGGTGGTGGTGTAGTGGTGGTGTAGTGGTGGTGTAGTGGTGGTGTAGTAGTAGTGGTGGTGGTGGTGGTGTAGTAGTGGTTGTGGTGGAGTGGTCGTGGTGGTGGTGGCCACACACTGACCCTGTGTCCCGGCTTGAGTAGTAGTGGTGGTAGTGGTGGTGGTGTAGTGGTGGTGGTGTAGTAGTAGTGGTGGTGGTGTAGTGGTGGTGTAGTGGTGGTGTAGTGGTGGTGTAGTAGTAGTGGTGGTGGTGGTGGTGTAGTAGTGGTTGTGGTGGAGTGGTGGTGGTGGTGGTGGCCACACACTGACCCTGTGTCCCGGCTTGAGTAGTAGTGGTGGTAGTGGTGGTGGTGTAGTGGTGGTGGTGTAGTAGTAGTGGTGTAGTGGTGGTGTAGTGGTGGTGTAGTGGTGGTGTAGTAGTAGTGGTGGTGGTGGTGGTGTAGTAGTGGTTGTGGTGGAGTGGTGGTGGTGGTGGTGGCCACACACTCACCCTGTGTCCCGGCTTGAGTCCGCCGTCCGGCTTGCCGCTGAGTTTGTGGAGCAGCGCGAAGGCCACCTTCATGCTCCGGCTCCACAGCTTCCCTGCACACACCATCACCATCAACATCACCACCATCACCAACATAACCATCATCACCAACATCACCAACATCACCAACATCACCAACATCACCAACATCACCAACATAACCATCACCATCAACATCACCACCATCACCAACATAACCATCATCACCAACATCACCAACATCACCAACATCACCAACATCACCAACATCACCAACATAACCATCACCATCAACATCACCAACATCACCAACATCACCAACATCACCAACATAACCATCACCATCAACATCACCAACATCACCAACATCACCAACATCACCAACATCACCAACATAACCAACATAACCAATATAACCATCACCATCAACATCACCACCATCACCAACATCACCAACATAACCATCACCGACATCACCATCACCGACATCACCAACATAACCATCACCATCAACATCCCCACCATCACCAACATAACCAACATCACCATAACCAACATCACCATCACCAACATCACCATCATCAACATCACCAACATCACCAACATCACCAACATCACCATCACCAACATCACCATCGCCAATATCACCATCACCAACATCACCAACATCACCATCACCAACATCACCAACATCACCAACATCACCAACATCACCATCACCAACATCACCAACATCACCATCATCAACATCACCAACATCACCACCATCATCAACATCACCAACATCACCAACATAACCATCACCATCACCAACATCACCACCATCACCAACATCACCATCGCCAATATCACCATCACCATCATCGACATCGCCGCGCCGCGAGTGTGAGCACGTACCGTAAGTGAGCGTGCCGAGCGGCTTGCCGTAGGCGTCCAGCGTCGTGGTGCACGGCATCTTGGAGGCCGTGCTCCCCCACCGCTCCAGCACCGCTTCGAGTGACGCCCCCGCCGCACCGCACTCACTGCACTCACCACAATCACCGCCACCGCCACCACCGCCGCCGCCACCAGGACCCACCACCAACCTCTCACCCCGCCCTGGCCTCATCTCGGGACCGCGAGGCCTCGGCTGGTTGGGGTCCGGCTGGTGGACTGCGACGCCGCAATAAGAAAACAAAGACAAAGATCCCCCGTGTGGCCTCAACAGACTTGTTGGGGCAAGTGGTGTTAGCATGCTCCTATGAAGGCCGGCGTGGCGCACGAAGAAGTGGATGGCCAGGACCGCGCCCGGCCGCCTTTGTCTCCCTAGTGGCCATGTTTACTACACACCGCACCAGGTCATTCGACCGAAGGGAGGTCCTGGACCGTTTCAGATAATCGTCATCGGTGTTGGCCGTGAGCGGGAATCGAACTCGGGTCGCCGGGTTCGTAGCGCAGAGCGCTAACCACACCCAGACGTGGGCAAAGATCTCTCGTGTAGATTGCACACGATGTTGGGGCAAGCACTGTCAGCAAAGGCCACCAGGCCTGGCCCTCTTTGTCTCCCCAATGCTGATGTTTACGCAACGCATCGGGGGTGTGGATATATTTGGGTCGCCGCTAAACTACCGCTCCCCACCAACATCATCATCATTGTCATAGGCCCTGTGTAGGCCCAATATAGGCCCCGTAAAAGCCATGTATAGGCTCCGTGCAGGCTCCGTGCAGGCCCCATGTAGGCCCAGATGAGGCCCTGTGTAGGCCCAGTGCAGGCCTCGTGTGCGAGCGTGACGCAGCGCTGCCGCCGAGCGTGGGTGGAGTTCTCTCGGTACCTTCCAGGAGCTCCTCCGAGTCGTCCACAAAGAACTCCTTGAGCGGAGGTCTCTTCGGCCGCTTGAGGGTCTCCACCAGCTGCTGGATCTTGGCGGAGACACGGCTATTCACCGGGACTCCTGCATGCGGCGAACACGCGGAATCATCATCATGATCATCATCCACCCATCAATCATCCACCCATCAATCATTCACCCATCAATCATTCACCCATCAATGATTCACCCATCAATCCTCCACCCAAAAATCATCTAACCATCGATCATCCATCATTGTCATCAGCAGCAGCAGCGGTAGCAGCAGCACCATCATCAGTAAATGCATCACCAACAACAGCGCCATCACCAATAACTGCACTACGCTCACGGTCAACGCTGGTGACAAATATCTGAATTGGTCACATGCAGCTTGCACCGTACATCGGCGCGCTAACTGCTGCCACTACCGCTCCCCCCACCACCACCACCCGCTGCCGTCACCACCACCACCCGCCGCCACCACCACCACCCACCGCTACCATCAACCGTTACCACCACCACCAACCGCCACCACCACAACCAACCATCGCCACCACCACCGACACCAAAGATGAAAGATCCCCCGTATAGCCTTAATGGACTATAGGGGGCAAGTGATGTTAGCGAGCACCTATAAAGGCCCGGCACGGCACACGAAGGGGTGGGTGGCCAGCATCACGCCCGGCCGCCTTTTTCTCCCTAGTGGCGATGCTTACACATTATACCAGGTACTCATGTGAGACTGAGTCGACCTAGGGGAGGGGCCCAGGACCGGTTCAGATAATCGTCACTGGTGTTGACCGTGAGCAGGAATCGAACTTGGGTCGCCGGGTTCACAGCGCAGCGCAGCGCTAACCGGTACACTACCGCTCCCGTTGCCACAACCGTCGCCGCCGCCACCACCACCACCTCCGTGCTGGTGCCACGCACCGTCGGCCGTCTCCATGAGCTCAACGTTGCCGAGGCGGCGTGGGAGGCCCCGCACGGAGGCCACGTGCGAGCGCTTGGCATGGGGCGGCCGCCCCGGGGGGTGGCGCTCGCTGGCGCCGCTCGTCACGTCCGGCGGAGCCCCGTAGCTCCCTGTTCGCACGCACACACGGACACACGGATACACACACACACAGACACACGGATGGATACACACAGACACACACACACAGACAGACACACACACAGACACACACGCACAGATACACACAAACACACACAAACACACACACAGGCACACACAGACACACACACAGACACACACGGATAGACACACAGACACACACGGATAGGCACACACACACACAGACACACACAGACACACACACACAGACACACACACACAGACATACACAGACACACACACAGACACACACAGACACACACACACGGACACACAGACACACACAGACACACAGACACACACACAGACACGCACAGACACACACAGACACACACACACAGACACACACAGACACACACACACACAGACACACACACACACAGACATACACAGACACACACAGACAGACACACACAGACACAAAGATAAGTCACATGAACCCACCCCCCCACCCACTCTCCTCGCACTGTGATGACATCACCCCGTTACTCCTCGATCTATGAGATCGGAAGCAAGAAGACTTCTTCGAAATTCCGGCGAATCGCGCGATGAGGCTGCTGATGGTTGTTGTTGTTGTCGTAATCACCAGCGAAACGTCGCGTTACTCAAAAACAATAAATGTTGGAGTGAGTTTACTCTCCAACACGCCAGTGTGCTGTGCTAGTCTGCAGTTTTGCTTTCCTAGGCTACACATCCAGTGTTCTCGTCGCCTTCGAAATTGTGAGACTGCCGTTGTTGAGTGTGCCTGTTGCACCAGTGCCAACGCAGCACCCAACCGTGTAGCGATGGCAGTGGCAGGGGCTGTGATGGACGGCATGGGGCAGTGCAGCGGTCGTCTCCAGCTACAGAACCACTCAATTGTAACTGCTGGCGAAAAACGTCGGACTTCAGATTGTAAATGTTGCGTCTTTGCTCTCCAACACGCCGGTGTGGCTGTACTCGTAACGAATCGGCACGTTTTGTCTACGTGACAAACCTTACTCATTGGCTGTGCCGGGTGGTGGCCGGTTAACGACACATTTATATTCACACGATCTCATCCCCCAAAATACGGATATCCCTGCGTGTAGCCTGTAACACACTATTGGGGCAAGTGCTGTTAGCGAGCAGCACCTATGAAGGCCGGCACGGCACACGAGGGGGTGGGTGGCCAGCACCACGCCCGGCCGCCTTTGTCTCCCCAGTGGCGATGTTTACTACGCACCGCACCGGTGCTCATTTCTGGCCAAGTCGACCTAGGGGAGGCTCAGGACCGGTTCAGGTAACCGTCACCGGTGTTGGCCGTGAGCGGAGTACGGTTATTATGCAACGGTACGCGATCTTCGGATCGTGATACACCGTCAGCTGCATCGCGAATCGCGTCGCCCGCAGTCGTCATTCCCGCCGCTTGTCGCTCGTAACATTCGCCAAGCACTTCCTACACCGCGTCCGGGGCGGACGGCTCAACCCGGGGCCCGCGGGGCCCTGACCGCGGGCCTACTACTCCCAAGGCGCCGCAGCTTTGCCGCCCGCAAAACATCGAGCGGCGGCCGCGTGACGTCGCGGGCGGGCTACTTTACGGCCGGAGGTCGATGTCGGAGGCGGCGGCTGGGGGCCCCGCGGCGATCGATGGGCCCGGACGCTCTGCCACGGCCGGCGGGTTGGCGCCGCGAGTCCATAAAACGTAGAGCCGCCCCCCCCCCCGCCCCCCCGCCCCTCCGCCGTCAACGGCCGCTTTATTTACGAGCGGACCGGACGGGCAAGGTGGGCGCTTGCGTTTGACGGCGCGCGGTTAAACCCCCTCCTCCCCGGCGCTTTACGATCGGCTCCGCGAGGCCCCGGGGATGCTCGCCGCCCGTCCTCACCGACTCGCGAGCGGCCCGCCACGGCGTCGGCGAGGGCCCCGACGCTGCAGGCGGCGCCCGGCCCCAGCGGCCCCGGCGCCAGCGCTTCCGCCCCCCCGGCCCCCCCCGTGGCCACGCCCGTCCCGTCGGCCCAGCGGGGGCCACCCAGGCACGCCAGCGCCCCGTGCGACACCGACAACCGGGCGCCGTCGCCCGTCGGCCAGTGCTGCTGCTGCTGCTGGTGGTGGTGGTGCTGGTGGAACTGGTGGAGCTGCTGCTGCTGCTGGTACTGGTGGTGGTGCAGGTGGTGGTGGCGATGGCGGTGGTGGTGGATGGCGTCCGCGGCCGGCCGGCCGATTGCTCCGCCGCGGACCGGCGTGCAGTCGGAGCTCACGGAGCGCCGGTCGGCCGAGCGGCCGGCGCTGTGCGAGGAGGACGACGAGGCGGACGAGGAGGAGGTGGAGGAGCGCCGCACGGCCCGGCTGATCCACCGCTCCACGCTGAGGCTGCACGGGCTGGCGGAGGAGGGGGTGGCGCCGCCGACGCTACCGCCGGCGCCGCCGCCGTCTTCGCGGTCCACGGCCGGGCAGTGCAGAGAGCCGTCATCGTCGGATGCGGACGAGGTGTCTGAAAGGACGGGAGTGGGGGGGGAGCCCAAGTGGTATGAGTGCGCGTGCATGTTTGTGTGTATCGATGTGCGTGTGTGCGCGTAGGTGCGGCGTAGCAGGTTAGCGCGCTGCGCTACGAACCCGGCGACCCGAGCTCGATTGCCGCTAAACGGCCAACACCGTCAGTGACGATTATCTGATCTGGTACCTGGGCCTCCCCTAGGTCGACTCAGCCTCGATTGAGTACCTGGTGCGGTGTGTAAACATCGCCAATAGGGAGACAAAGGCGGCCGGGCGTGGTGCTGGTCACTCACCCTCTCATGTAGCGTTGTGGCCTTAATAGGTGCTCGCTAATAGCACTTGCCCCTACAGTCTGCTAAGGCTACACGGGGATCTTTCTCTTTGTCTTTGTGTGTGTGCGTGCCGGCACCTGGGGGGGTGTAGGTGTCCACGGACATCTGTGCGACTAGCGAGTCGCGTTTGGAAGGCATGGGGACCCCCGAGCGCCGCTCGCGCTGCCTCGCCAGTGCGTCCTGCACCGCCTCCGAGTGCTCGTCTGCACCGCCCACGCACGCCCACACGCACAAAGACAGACACGCGGACGCACGCACGCACACGGACAGACACGCGAACGAATGAACACGCGGACGCACAGCCAGGTGGATGCACGGACGCACGGACATGAGCACTGACGGACAGATAGACACGCAGACAGTGAGACCGATAGACAGTCAGACAAACAAATGGACAGATGGACAGACGTATGGATGGATGAATGGAAGGAGAGATTCGTGCAAATACAAATAGATGGACAAACGGACATATGGACAGATGGACAGACAAATGGGCAGATATACGCATGGAGAGACAAAGCAGTGGATATCAAGTTATACTAGCAGATGTAGGGTGAGAGACAGACGGACAGATGAGCAGAGGGACAGAAGGGCAAGATAGGTGGACAGATGGATGGACAGACGGCCGGACAATAAGGTCGATGGACAGACACTGGAACGGACGGAGAGACAGATAAACTGGTGGTTGGATAAATTGATGACAGACGGTTGGACAGATGGATGGATAAAAAGAATGGACAAGCAGATTAGACAGACAGACACGGACAGCGTTGGTTGTACAGATGGACAGACAAGACAAGGCCTAAAGCAGTAGCGATCATCACAGAACAAATGGCAGTGGCAGCAATCCCAGTGATGGTGGTGGTGGTGATGGTGGTGGTAAGGATGATGATAATGGTGGTGATGATAATGGTGGTGGTAGTAATGGTGGTGGTGGGGGTTGTGGTGGTGCGAGTGTAGGCGTGCTCGCCTGATCGGTAGTAATCATCGCAGGCCGTGTAGTGGTGGTGGCGGTGGTTGTGCCGGTGGTGTTGGTGGAGCGGTGAAGCGTGGCTCGTGGGGCTGTCGGGCCTAGGAGGCAGCAGCCTCCGCTCGGTGTTGAATTCCGCATCCACTTTAACAACAACAACAACAACACAAGTAGTAGGAGTAGTATTGTTGTTGTTGTTGCGAGGGGGGCGGGGGGGTTTGGGGGGAGCTGCTGCTGCTGCGTGATCCCAAGTGAGTCCTCCACGCGCTCGCTCCACGCGCTCGCTCCACGCGCTCGCTCCACGCGGCTCGCTCCACGCGGCTCGCTCCACGCGGCTCGCTCCACGCGGCTCGCTCCACGCGCTCGCTCCACGCGCCTCGCTCCACGCGGCTCGCTCCACGCGGCTCGCTCCACGCGGCTCGCTCCACGCGGCTCGCTCCACGCGGCTCGCTCCACGCGGCTCGCTCCACGCGGCTCGCTCCACGCGGCTCGCTCCACGCGGCTCGCTCCACGCGCTCGCTCCACGCGGCTCGCTTCCACGCGCTCGCTCCACGCGGCTCGCTCCACGCGGCTCGCTCCACGCGGCTCGCTCCACGCGCTCGCTCCACGCGGCTCGCTCCACGCGGCTCGCTCCACGCGGCTCGCTCCACGCGGCTCGCTCCACGCGGCTCGCTCCACGCGGCTCGCTCCACGCGGCTCGCTCCACGCGCTCGCTCCACGCGGCTCGCTTCACGCGCTCGCTCCACGCGGCTCGCTTCACGCGCTCGCTCCACGCGGCTCGCTCCACGCGGCTCGCTCCACGCGGCTCGCTCCACGCGGCTCGCTCCACGCGGCTCGCTCCACGCGGCTCGCTCCACGCGGCTCGCTCCACGCGGCTCGCTCCACGCGCTCGCTCCACGCGGCTCGCTTCACGCGGCTCGCTTCACGCGCTCGCTCCACGCGGCTCGCTCCACGCGGCTCGCTCCACGCGGCTCGCTCCACGCGCTCGCTCCACGCGGCTCGCTCCACGCGGCTCGCTCCACGCGCTCGCTCCACCACTCGCCCCACGCCCTCGCTCTACTCGTGGCGAGCACACGACGCGTTTTCGCAACAACGCGACGGTCCCCCCCGTTGCAACGCGGACCGTGCACCGTTGTAACGCAGAAGGCGCCTTCCGCTAGAACGCGGTTTCTGAGCGGTGGACGACGACGACGACGAACTACTTTCCTGCGCCGCGCGGCTGAACGCTCGTTGGCCGGGTGTCCGCGGCGCGGAGCGGCACGCCGCCGCCTCGCCGCTCTCAATGATCACCGTAGTTACACGGCGTCACGGCCGGCCGCCCGGGTAACGACGCGGGGATAAATTACGTCCGCGCGCTGTAGCCGCGACGGGGTGGCGTTTCACGCTCGTAAATCGGCTCGGCCGGGTGCCGTGTGGGTCGCCGCCAGACGGCCCGGCAGTGCCGCCCGGCGCCGGCACCCGGCGGACGATCCCTGCCCCTCGCTCGTTTGCTCCGGTGGCTCTCTCGCTGTCGGTCGGTCTTCGCTGCTACCTCCGCTGTCACCATCGGCCCCCCCCCCTCCTGTCACTCTCTTACTGCTACTGCCGCTGTAGGGACGTGCGGTCAGGGGAGGCAGGGGAGGCACAGCCTCACCTGTCAAACTCCAATGGAAATAGT